AATTGTTCTACCAAGCGAGGCTTCAACTACTGGAGCTAAAGACCTCAGATATTGGGAGAGTTGAGCCATTTGCCTAAACCCCTATGGTTCCGGTTGGTCATCTGTCATGAACTGCATCCAGGTTTCCTTTTTGCTTTGGTATTCTCCGTTGACCTGGTTTTCCTGTGTTTTTTGTTTTGGTGTGCCTGCCCTTCAGTATGAACAGCTTTTGGGCATCTCTAGGGTGCATGATTATATTCAAGTTGTGTACCTCATTGGACAAGAGAGAAAATAGGATATGTGTACTTCTCGTAAAATCCTTTCTCTGAGTCCATTGAGGGATACATCTCCCTCCCCTCATATGCTATCATTCTCTCTTTGGACTGCTTGCTACAAATGAGCAGCTGTGAGGTAGGAGACGTTATGACCTCAAGGGGGCTGGCCTTCAGTTTTCTATGTACATAGTGTTCCTTTCTCCTGTAAGCAGCAGTATAACCCTAGGTTGCTTAACTATCAAGTTGTGTCCCTCAATGGACTCTGAAAAAGGATTTTAGAGTGAACAAAAAAATCCTATTTTTAAATAAGTTCTTCAGCTAAAACACCATTAGACTTATTCTTGTGGGCTTTAGTTCTTGTTTGGAGTGAAAATACAAGACCATGCAGTCCTTGTTTCATATTAATAACATTTGTCCTTGTATTGCGTAGTACCTGGCGACCTTGGAAACCAGCTGGAAGCCAAGCTGAATAAGCCATCAGTTGTACATTACATGTGTTCTAAGAAGACAGACTACTACTTCACTCTTTGGCTGAATCTGGAACTTCTGCTACCCCTTGTAATTGATTGCTGGATTGATAATATAAGGTGAGATTGAATGAAGGTGTGTGTGTGTATACAGTTGTTTTAAAAAGTGTTGGCCCCCTTCCTGATTTTTCATTGTTTTGCACGTTTGTCACACTTTCTTTTAATGTTTCAGATCATCAAACAAATGTAAATATTAGTCAAAGATAACACAACATGCAGTTTTTAAAGGAAGGTTTTTATTTTTAAGGGAAAACAAAATCCAAACCCACATGGCCCTGTGTGAAAAAGGATTTCTTTGGATCTTGGCATGATGTGTAGCTTTTGAGGATCTTTTGGTCTACTTCACTTTGTCGGTCAAGTCTTATTTAAGTGATTTCTTGATTGCGAACAGGTGTGCAATCTATCTGGCTGATAATGTATTTCCATGCAATGATCTTAACTATTATTTTGTTTCGACATTTGTTTCAGTGCAGCATTTTATATTGTATAAGTATTATACATGTTCATTTGTGTAAACATTTTTTCCTTTTACTTTGTGTACATTTTTAATGATTTTTCTTTTGAACCTTCCCTTAGTTGCTCTCTTCTTTTAGGTAGTGTTTTCAATATAAATCTATACAGGGTTATTCACTAAAGGGTGAAGAATTTGGAGAAGGCAGGAGAAGTGAGCAATCTAGGACAACATAGCTGAACTGGAAAGTGAGCTGAATTGGAGAATTTTTCCAAATCAGCTATTTGGTCCTAGATTGTTCACTTCTCCTGCCTTCTCCAGACTCTTCACCCTTTTGTGAATAACCTTGATAGTGTTCATGCAAATATTTTAAATCTCCAGCAAGCATCTGAAACTTCAGTCTTTTTTATTTTATTTTTTACAATGTATCGTGTATTTATTTAAACTAGGGATGTCACGATACCTTTTTTTTTTTTTAAGACAAAGTACAAGTACTTTCCCTCAGGTACTTATCGATACCAATTACCAATACTTTTTTCTTAAAGGGATATGTGACTTTTTTTTTTTTCCTAAAACAATACAGACTAATGATTTTAGGGCAGTTTCTTTATAATTATGAAGAACTGTAACTCAATCCATGATTATTTAGCAATGGAGAAAGGCAACCAGCAATAGAGGACTACAGATCCCATCAATCCATGATTATACAGGACTGCGTTTGGGTCCCGCCGTGGGGCTGCATTTGGGTCCCGCTGGGGCTGTGTGCATATCGCGCAAGGGCTGCATGTGTGTCTATCCAGGGCTGAACGGGTGGGTGCTAGGCTCGTGTCAGGCTCCAGGGCTGTACGGGCGGGTGTGGAGCTGTCCAGTGCTGTGCCGATCTCGGGAAGAAGGAGATGTGGGGCGGGACCGTCACTGTCAAAGATCGCTGACGCGAGGTCCCTAGCAGGCGGCCGCTCTTGTTTAAAAATTTAAAGGCCCAGTTTCGCTTTTAGTATAGGGGCATTTTCACGAGTACAAGTACTCTTGAAAAAGCCTTGTATCGGCCCCAGTACCGATACTAGCGGGGGTATCGGGACATCCTTAATCTAAACCCCAAAACAAGCATTTAATATATTTTAGGGCTGCGGAAATTAACGATGATCCCTCGATTTATCGTTAATTTTTTTGATCGATCAAAATTATTTTGATCGGTACTCACCTCTCCGCCGACTTCCGGGTCTTCTGAGAGTTCCGTCGGAGATCCGGTGACATCACGGACAGCGACGTCACCGGACTCCTCCCCAAGTGGCTCCATCGGCTAACGAAGGGAAGGGGGAGGAGTCCGGTGACGTCGATGTCCGTGACGTCACCAGACTCCTCCTTCCCTTCGTTAGCTGAGGAGTTCCGCCTGTTCAAGGGCCCGCAGCTCCTTCATGAAAATCCCCCTCCCTCACCCGCCGCTCTGCCACCCGTAGCAGTAGAATGTAAGGGCAGCTGTGTGGGGAGAGGAGGCTGTGTGTCCGCCTGAGAGGACCCTCTGGTCGCAGAGATGAAGCAGCTGCTGCAGGAGCCAGGTAAGGCTGCGTGAAGGCTAGATGAGGAAGGGGGGGTTTAAACTGGTGGGGGCCGCGAGACTTGTAGTCCTGTATAGCTGGTGGTGTTCTGCATTGATGTATAATGATTTATACAGCAATGCTGAATACCACCAACTATACAGGACGGCAAGTCCCAGCAATACATTATATTAAGTAGGGATGCACCTGTGCCAATACTGGGCATTATCACAAGTACTCGTACTCGTGAAAATGACCCAATACTAAACGCAGATACCGGCACTGGCGAAACTACCAGGGCTGCATCAGTCGCATTTGCGACCAGGCCCTGGTGTTCCGCCAGTTTGGGGGGCCCAGAGAGACCAGAACACTGACATTGATTTGCTATGTGTTCCGGAGATCACACTGCGGCCGGGGGGCGTACCTGCGTTGCCATTGACTTTAATGCAACAACACGCCCCCTCCCGCCCCAGAATGCAGTGAGGCGGCCGGGATGCGATCCAGTGCGTTCCAGCACGAATCGGGCTGGAACTAGCCCTGAAAGTCATAACATACATAGAGGGGAATTTATCAAAACTGGAGCAGACAGAATCTGGAGCAGTTACCCATGGCAACCAATCAGCATCCACCTTTTATTTTTAAACCTTAACTGAAGAGAGAAGCTGATTGCTTGTCATAGGCAACTGCTCCAGATACTTTTGCTTCAGTTTTGATAAATTCCCCTCATACTGTTTGAGTGTGTGTGTAGGCCAATGTAGTTGGATCTGTATGTGCGTTATAATCGAAATTGATCGATTAAAAAAAATTTTGATTAATCGAACAGAAAATTTTGAATCATTACCAGCCCTAATATATTTCAGTTTAGCAGTCCTTAGATTTGTTTTATCTTTTTTTTCCAAGGTAAAGCTGTAAATAACACACTTGCTGTCCTAGGTTTCGGTTCGCTCACTCACTCTTTTGAATCTATGGAAGTGGCCATGGTCGTCACTAGGCTTCTCTACCAGTTTGGGATACAAAATGTCTTTCTCTCTTTATCTTCATTACATGGGAGGTTAAGGGAATTAGTAAATTACAGAATATATCTTGTAAGGAAGATAAATAGGGCAGCTAACCATTATTTTTATAAATGATTAGTTAGACAATTTTCTTCTCTTTAACTGCCTCCGGGCCGGCCGTAGTAGAAAAACGGCCGGCCCGGAGCTCTCTAGATCTGAGCGGGCGTCTTTA